TTTCAGGTTGTAGGTGTCCTTCTGTCTAAAATGAGTCTCTTGCTACATCTTATTTTAATATGGCCATACTAGCTTACTTTTACTAAACATCTCTTTCACTGTGGCCCATTCTTTTTAGGGTCCTGGTTTTATGAAAGGGTCTCAATTCTACTCTCAACCTTAAACTAGTCAAGTGCCATGTTTTCTGTTTAGGCAGGTGAGTTTTAAAACTTGAGCTTCCTAGCCATTTGGGACAGTATATCTTCTCTCTCCCAAGGCTTACTGTTCCAGCTCTTAAGTGTCCCTTTCATTTCTGAAACTTGAGGATTTCCTTTTCTTTATTTCATGTTCAGCGATGTGACAGTTTCCCTTCCTAATTTATCCAGTACTTCTTTGTAGCAGGGGAATGGTGGGTTTTGCAGCAAAGTCCTGGGCAGTAGTGATGAAAGACTGTTTGCCATGCATAGTTCGCCATGTTGTGGAATGCTTTCTCTGTCTCACACTTTAAATCAGAGACTCTCAACCTTGGTTACCTATTGGAATCATCTGGGAAACTTAAGTACTGATTACTGGATCCATTGCAAGAAATTTATTTAGTTGGTCAGAGATGAGGCATTGGCATTGGGACTATTAAAAACTCCCCAAATGATTCTAATGCAGCCAAGGCTGAGAACCACTCTTTACATGTTAGCAGCAACCACTCTGAACTTTCAGCTATACTGAGACTTCAGCAGATTTGGGAGTTACTAGGGGGCAGCTGGATCTCTTTGGTGGGTTTTACCACTTCTCATCTTTATTTCAGGTCCATTTGTGTGTTAACCTGGTAGATCGAGTCAGATAATTTTCCTACATTTTCACTGTGTTCCTGCTGAATTTCTAAGGCTTCAGAGGTTTTAGCTAGTGTGAACAGGTTTCTGAATTAGACTTCTTTTCTCGCTGTATCTACCTACTCCAATATTTTTCCCTTTAAAGAGGTTAGCTCTAACAGAAATGTTGGCTAGTCAGTTTAAGATGCCTAAACCTAGTGTATTTTCCAGCTTTCATTTGATTCATTGCTTGTCTTGAACTTTTTCAGGTTTTCTACAAACTGCGTATTGATGAGTCATACAAATGTTATGGGCAGTAACTTGTGCTGTGTACTAAGGAAATAGTCAAGCATGTCTATGATACTCTTTTTCATTTTACAAGGAATTTGTAACTTTGGTGCAATAGTGAGAAATGGCATTAAGCTGTGAAAAACAAAACTCACTGTTCTTATTTAAGAGTGGATGGTGGATTTAACTGTTGGGACTGCTGACTTACTTGATATTCTTTGTGGCAGGGTTAAAAAAAAAAAGGGTTCTTAAGGACTCTATTGATTTGCATATACTTAGTTACAAATCTTTTCCTTGAAAGATCAGTTGTCTTGTATACCAAGATAAGCTGGTGTGTTTGATTGTCCAGTGAGCGAGCCATTTAGCTTCGTGGTACTCTTTTGCTTTTATTCCTGGAAGCTGTTCTACAGATTGCACTTTGGTTTGTTTGTTTCTTTTTTAAAAAATATTTATTTATTTATTTTAGAGAGAGAAGGGGAATGTGCAAGTGTGAGTGGAAGAAGGGCAGAGGGAGAGAATCTCAAGCAGACTCCCTTGTAAGCGTGGAAGCCAATGTGGTGCTCGATTTCATGATACTGAGATCATGACCTGAGCCAAAATCAAGAGTCAGATGCTTAACCAACCGACTGAGCCACCAAGGCACCGCTGTACTTTGGTTTCAAATAGGATACAGGAATTGATTATCTGAGTTGTTGATCAGGAAAAGTATTCAGAGTGCAGGCTCTATTGAAAATGGATTAGTCTCTTCACTTATGAAAGCCAAAAGCTTATAAAACATTATTTAAATAGATAATACATATATGTGGCTTAAAAATTGAAATAGCACAAAATGGTATAATAAGTCCTGTCAGTATCAACTGTTCTAAATCATGTGGTGCCATGTACTCTTGATAATGATGTGATGAAAATAGCACTTTACTTCTGTGGAAAATTCCACTTGAGGGACATCCTACAAAATATTTGAGCATTACTCCTCAAAACTGTCAAGGTCATCAAAAACAAAGTCAAAAAACGGTCACAGAAAAGAGGAACCTAAGGAGACAGTTAAATTTACTGTAGAATCTTGAATGGAATCCTGGGACAGAAAAATGACATAAAAAAACTTTTTAAAATTCTGAGTAAATTGTGGACTTTAATAATAATGCATCAGTACTGATCTCATTACATGTAGTAAAAGTACCATACAAATGTAAGATGTTAACAACAGTGGAAACTGTAAAGTGTAGTGAAACTCCTTTGCACTATCTTCTCATTTCCTGTGTAAATCTAAAACTGTTCTAAAAAAATAAGATATTCTTTAAAAAATCTTCTTTCTTTCCTGAACCTCTAGTACCCTGGTCTAAAGGGAATCACTTCCTTTTTTTTTTTTTTTTTTTGAAAACAGGGAACTTTAGTATAAATAAGAGGTCCTGGGGGACAGGGAGGGCCCCGAGGGGCTTCCATAATTTAACACTCTTCAAAAGCACAAACAACAGCAGGGGCAGGGTGGGGGGGCCAGGGCAGTAAAGGGAATCACTTCTTACCATTTTCTTGTGACTCCTTTGGGAGAGATTTTATGCCAATATGAACACATTGTATGCATATTCTTCTCTCTTCTTAAAAATAAAAAAAGACAATGCAATATACACACATAATATTATTTCACTTAATATGTTTGGTGGTTTTTCCACATTATCTTATATATTCATTCCTATGGATAGTATTTCATTATATAGATACACCACAGTTTAACTGATCTCCTGTTACTGAATAGTTAGGTTGTCTTGTTTGACTGCAGGTGTATTAGTTTATAACCTTAACCTTTGCAACAGAATTAGGAGGTGGGAATTGAAGTTTGGGATGGTGAGAAGAGAATAGTCCAGTTTTATTTTGTTATTTAGTTGGATTTATACATTCATCCATTTAATTTAATATTCCACTTATCCCTGGAAAAGGATTTGAGGAAGATTGTATCTGTTTATTTAAATCTTTTTGATGGATATCTGGGGGATGCTTCCTATATACTAATCATAATGCTAAGTAAGTGCAGGTGATACAGGAATCTGTTCAAGTACAGGTCCAGATCTTAGCTTATGGTGAAAGAGACAGCTCCAAGAATATAATTGTATTTTTGTAGTCTATGCTAACACTGTGCTGCAGAAACACAAATGAGGAACTGACTATACATTTTGAGTTTTTGGTGTCATTCCAGATAAGCTCAATGATATGAAGGTTCAGATAAGCTTAATGATATAAAGGTTCATGGATGACTCAGTTGGATATTTTTGTCATCAAGGGAAGAGAAGGTCCTCAGTTTTCTCCTGCTTGTAGTATCTGGAGTCAGAGACTTTATGTTAATAGAGTAGACTTAGTCTGCCTCCACTCTAAGTCAACTTCTGGGAGAAATGTCCTGTAAATTGCTTGGATTTATAAGCAGTGAAGAATACTCAGTAACATGATTACCTTATGCTTCAGTATGCATTCAAGAAAAGTATTGTATACTGTAGTTTGGTGAACCTGCTAGACACAGTTGTAAAACCATTGTTGTTTTTTCCCCCCCAAGGAATGGTCATATCTAAAGACACAGGGAAAGGATGAAGTGTTTTGCTTTTTACAAGCTGGTTCCTTTTCATGACAAAGCCTTCCTCCATGAGCTAGCCTTGCTCTTCTTTCTTGTCTAGCTTCAAAGACTGGCTCTCTTTTGTTTATTTAATTATATATTTATTTTTAATCACAAAATAAATACATGATTGTATTTCCACAAGATATTCAAACACTGTTTCCCTTGACTCCAATTTCATTCCTCTCCAAAGAAGGAACCATTCATTGCTATCATTTGGTATATGTGGAAAGAGTGTGTGTGTGTGTGTGTGTGTGTGTGTGTGTGTGTGTATGTATGTATGTATGTATGTGTGTGTGTTTTACATTAATGGTGTCCTACAAAATGCACTATCCTCTTACTTGATTTGTTCACTTAGTAGTGTGTATTAGACAGTATTCCAGGGTATAACATGTTGATTGACCTTATTGCATTTTATAGCTATAACAAAATTTGTTCAACCTTTCTGCTGCTGTTGGCCTTCTAGGTTGTTACCATTTTTGGTTTATTATTATGAGCAATGCTGTAGTGGCTTCCTTGTACATTCCTTGTACAATGTAGGGGTTTCTCTAGGTTATTAAGAAGTTGGATTCGCTACTCATGAGATTTAGGGGTTTTAAATTTTGCCAGATACTGCTAACATATTGTCGCATGAGAAAAACAAGTTGTAGATTTGATTGGGTAGCATGATACCATTTATGTTGGAAGAAGAGCCCAGATATGTCACAAGAACATATTCTATTGACTGGACTGTTAATAGTTGAAAATTTTGAAGAGAATACTAGGCTTCAGAATGGTAGTCAAAGGGACTTAGGGCTTTTCAGTGATGTTTAGGTTTTTATAACAAGAATGTGTCCATGCTCTATTTGAATTATAGATAGTTACCAATAAAAATAAAAAGAATGTTTGAATAATTTATATCTATTTTTATGCCTCAGGCAGAGAATAGTTCCTGTTTTTAACCCATACTGACCATTTAAAAATTTTGACCATGTATTAGGATGTAGAAAAAAAATCAGTGTATTTCAAAAAGTGGAATTAGGTGATGTTACATGAAGGGTCACATTCTTTGGCCACTGGTATCCCAGTCAAGTATTTAATCATCTTGGATTTTCTGAATTTTATAGTAAAAAGATATCTGTTATTGTAACTTTCTGTTTTTAATATTTAGATTCTAGTAAAAGTGACTAAAATTAAAAAAAAATTTACTATTGACCTTAATTTTCCTTAATGTAAAATAGAGTATTTAAATATTGCCAGTGTTGTGTGAATACAGTAAACAATTGCTTAAATTATGTGACTCCAAAGAATAGGTGTTTTTTAATGTATAACTTTTTTTTTCCTTAAAGAGATGTGAAAGCTGGAAATATTCTTCTTGGAGAAGATGGCTCAGTACAGATTGCAGGTAATGATTAGTATTTCTTTTTATTTTGATTTAATGGTCGGTAGAACTACCTTATTTATCTTTTGTGTTTTCAGAGCCAGTTTTCTCTTCTAGTGCCTGGACTCTGTCTAGCCAAGCATCCTATATTGGCACATCCCTGCTGATTCTCAAGATACCTTCCACTATTTATCCTTCATTGTTGATCTCTGACATTTTTCTCTGTCCACTAGTCATTACCTTCCAGTTATCACTCCTTACCCCCAGGAGTCATCTTCTATGGGTTCTCATAGCAGTCTTTGCTTTCCTTTGAAGGAAAAGTAGTCAAGAAACCTCACTGTGTTTATAAATTAATATGCTTTAGTATCTGGTGAGAGAGGTGATACAGAGCTACTTCTGTCATGGGGTGATTGGGGTATTTGCCAGTGAGGAGGAGGCATTTGAGAGGTGCAAGTGCACATTTGGTAGATTCAGAGCCGAAGAGATAAGATAGGATATCTTATTACTTATGCCACTCAATGGCATCTAGAATAGTGAATTCTTTCCAGAAGGTTTTCAGTTTACTTTGCCCAGATCCAGTAGAGGATAAGATATGGTAAGTCCGAGGCCTGCCAGAGGTGGCTATGCTGGTGAAATACCCCTCCTCCAGGCTGAGACTCTAGAGTGGCCTTACAGCAGGATTGTTGAGTAAGTTGCTCATCTGAGAAGGCCTTGGCTTGGTCCCTCCCACACTGCTGGGACAGTCAGGTGTTTGACAGGAGGAAGATAATCACCCAGACCATAACTTACTTCTTCAGCTTTAGAGGATAATTTAGATGCACATCTTCCTTCATGTCTCAACCTAGGAAGTATTTTAATGAAGCCACATAATGCTTTAGCATTAAAGAAAATATTGATAAATTTGGCTCTTTTAAAATTCACAGCTTCTAGGGACTCCTGGGTGGCTCAGCGGTTGAGTGTCTGCCTTCGGCTTAGGGCATGATCCTGGGGTCCTGGGATCAAGTCCCACATCGGGTTCCCTGCATGGAGCCCACTTCTCCCTCTGCCTGTGTCTCTGCCTCTCTCTCTCTCTGTGTCTCTCATGAATAAATAAAATCTTAAAAAAAATAAAATAAAATTCACATTTTCTGTTTATTGAAAGAGGGGCAAATGGTTAATCATCATTAATAAGCAAAAAGACAAACCACAGAATAGAGAAGATATTTGCAGCATGAATAATGGATGTAGGGCTCAAATTTAGAAGAATTCATTAAGAAAAATCAGATAAAAAATGAGAAGACTTCCCAAATGAAGACATCAAAACATAAATGTAATAAAAGGCATTCAGCCTTATACTAATAATCAGTTAAGTGCCTAGTACAAACATACCTCGGAGATATTGTGGGTTTGATTCCAGACCACCACAGTAAAACCAATATTGCTTTAAGGCAAATCAAATGAATTTGTTGGTTTCCCAGTGTGCATAAAAGTTACGTTTACACTATGCTAAAGCCTATTTAATGCACAATGCAGTATTTCTAAAAAAAAAAAAAAAGTATACCTTAATTAAAAATACTTTATTGCTAAAACATGCCAACCATCCTTTGAGCTCTCAGTGAGTCATAATCCTTTTGTTGGCATAGGGTCTTGTCACCATGTTGATGGCTGCTCATTGATCAAGGTAGTAGCTGCTGATGGCTGAAGTGGCTGTAGCAGTTTCTTAAAATAAAATAACAATGGCATTTGCTGCAGCAGTTGACTCTTCTTTTTATAAATGATTTCTCTGTAGCATGCAGTGCTGTTTTACCCACAAAAGAACAACTTTCAAGATTGGAGTCAGTCCTCTTAAATCTTGCTTTATCAACTAGGTTTATGTAATATTCTAAATCCTTTGTTGTCACTTCAACAATCTTCACACATCTTCACCAGCAATAGATTCTATCTCTAGAAAACACTTTCTTTGCTCATCTATAAGAAGCAACTCCTCATTTGTTCAAGTTTTATCACAAAATTGCAGCAGTTCAGTCACATATTCAGGGACCACTTCTAATTCTAGTTCTCTTGCTATTTACACCATATCTGTAGCTATGTCCTCCACTAAAGTCTTGAACCCCTCAAAGTCCATGAGGGTTGGAATCACTTTCTTCCAAATTCCTGTTAATGTGATATTTTGACCTCTTCTCATGAATCATGAATGTTCTTAATGGCATCTTGAAGAGTGAATTCTTGCCATAAGATTTTGGGTTTACTTTGCCCAGATCCAGTAGAGGAATCACTAGCCTTATAGAATGTGTTTATTAAATAATAAGACTTATTTTTTAAGATTTTATTTATTTATTCATGAGAGAGAGGCAGAGACATAGGCAGAGGGAGAAGCAGGCTTTTCATGGGGAGCCTGATATGGGACTAGATCCCAGGACCCCAGGATCATGCCCTGAACTGAAGGTAGATAGACGCTCAACCACTGAGCCACCCAGGTATCCCAAGTAATAAGACTTAAAAGTCAGAATTACCCCTTGATCCATGAGCTGCAGAATGGATGCTGTGTTAGCAGGCATAAAAACAATATTAACTTCATTGTACGACTCCTTCAGAGCTCTTAGGTGACCAGGTATTGTCAATATTTTTTTAAAGATTTTATTTTAGAGCAAATACATATGGGCAGAGGGAGAGGGAGAGAATCTCAAAGTTGATGCTGTGCTGAGTGCAGAGCCCAACATGGTTCTCGATCTCATGACCCTGAAATCATAACTTGAGTCAAAACCAAGAGTTGGATGTTTAACCAGCTGAGCCACCCAGGCACCCCAGTGAGCAGTAGTATTTTGAAATGGATCTTTTTTTCCCCTAAGCAGTAGATCTTAACAGTGGGCTTAAAATATTTAGTAAACCCATGTTGTAAACAGACGTGCTGTCATTCAGGCTTTATTCTTCCATTTATAGAGCACAGGAAGAGTAGATTATGCATTATTCTTAAGGGCCTTAGAATTTATGGACTAGTAAATGAACATTGGTTTCAGCTTAAAGTCACTAGCTGCATTAACCCTAAACATGAGAATCAGCATGTCCTTTCAAGCTAGGTATTGACCTCTCTAGCTAAAAAAGTTCAAGATGGCATCTTCTTCCAATAGAAGGCTGTTTTGTCTACATTGAAAATCTGTTGTTTAGTGTAGCTACTTTCATGTATTAACTTAGTTAGATATTCTGGATAACTTGTTACAGCTTCTACATCAGCACTTGCTGCTCTACCATGCACTTTTATGTTATGGAGGTGGCTTCTTTCCTTAAACCTCATGAACCAACCTCTGCCGGCTTTGAGCTTTTCTTCTGCAGCTTCCTCACCTCTCTCAGCCTTCCTAACATTGAGGAGAATTAGGGTCTTGCTCTGGATTAGGCTTTGGCATAAGGGAATGGCTGGTTTCATTTTCTGTCCAGACCACTAAGACTTTCTTCATATCAGCAATAAGGCTGTTTTGCTTTTCTTATTTGTATGTTCACTGGAGTAGAATTTTTAATTTTCTTCGAGAACTTTTCCTTTGCATTCACCACTTGCCTAACTGGTACAAGAGGCCTAGCTTTTTGCCCACTTTGGCTTTCAACGTGCCTTCCTTACTGAGCTTAATCATTTCTAGCTTTTGATTTAAAGAGAGAGACTATATGACTCTTCCTTTCACATGAACACTCAGAGGCTCTTGTAGGGTTTTTAATTGGCCTAATTTAGGGACACCTGGGTGGGTGGCTCAGGGCGTGATCCCAGGGTCTCGAGTTCAAGTCCCACATTGGGCTTCCTGCATGGAGCCTGCTTCTCCCTCTGCCTATGTCTCTGCCTCTCTCTCTGTGTGTCTCATGAAAAAATAAAATATATATTTTTTTAATTTGCTTATTTACTTGACAGAGATAGAGAGAGAGACACCACTCACAGTAAGGGGAGTACAGGCAGAGGGTGAGGGAGAAACAGGCTGTCTGCTGAGCAGGAAGCCTGATGCGGGGTTTGATCCTAGAACCCTGGGATCATGACCTGAGCTGAAGGCAGATGCTTAACCAACTGAGCCACCTAGGCGCCCTGAAAAATTAAATAAAATCTTTAAAGAAAAAAAGGCCTAATTTAAATATTGTTGTGTGTCAGGGGATAGGGAGGCCTGAAGGAGAGGGAAAGATACGGGAGAATGGCTGGTTGGTGGAGCATTTAAAACACACACAACATTTATTAAGTTTGCCATCTTACAAGGGCCTGGTTTGAGGTGCCCCCAAAACAATTACAGTAGTAACATAAAAAATCATTAATCACAGATCACCATAGCAAATACAATAATAATGAAAAATTTTGAAATATTGCAAGGGTTACGAAAATGTGACAGAGACAAGAAGGAAGCAAATGTTGGAAAAATTGTGCTAGTAGACTTGTTTAAAGCAGGGTTGCAATAGACCTTCAGTTTTTAAAAAACACAGTATTTGTGAAGTCTAAGTAAGGTGAAGCAGTAAAAAACAAGGTATGCTTGTAAAATAACATTGGGATGCCAAGTTATATTGGCTGACAGGCAAAAACATCTGACACCACAGTTGTTAGTGTCATTGCAGAGCAAAGAAAAATCTCATATTCCTATAGTGGGAGAATAAATTAGTGCAAACACTATATTAAGTTGAAGTATGCATACCCTAAAACTTTGGCTTCTTGGTGTATGGCCTAGAGAAAATGATGCTTATATGTGCCATAGTGCTCATAAGCATTAAAAGTTTGAAACAGTCCAACATCCTTATAGAATGGATAAATATAAATAAATTATGGTTAATATATGTATTAGAATACTATATAGTGATGAATGTAGATGGAACTACAACTACATTCAAAAGCATTAATAAGGTATAAAAAGATAAGGTGAAAGAAAACAGTCAAAATAGAATATATAGCATATGAATTCGTTTATATAGGTTCAAAACCAAGCACAAGTAAGCTATATTGTTTAGAAAAGTAAACCCAAGTGGCAAAAAACTAAAGAAGAGAGGATTCTGGGAAGATGGTGAAGTGGAAAGCACCTGGAATCTCTCCA